CATGGATCTACAAACTCAGATACATTCAGACAACATTCTATGTATTATGTATCTTTACATAATATGTATCTTTACATATTATGTATCTTTAAAAAAAACAAGTCAGTGACACACCTTAAGACATGGACAAAATTAGAGGACATGATGCTCAGCAAAGTTAATCAATCTTATAAAAATAAACGTCTCAGGACACCATGATGATAGAGTAAAAGAAAGAAAGAAAAATCGTTTTTACACCGAAGGATAACACTAAAGACAAAGCAGGCCAGATGGGGTGGCAAAGAGGGAAAGAGCAGGCCAGAGGTTGGGAAAGTGGGGGTGGGGGGGGGAGAACAGCAAAGAATCGCATGTACGAGGGGGTCACGGGACACTAATGTACTGATTCAATTTGATGAGATGGGCCGTGCAACTACACGGGCCCCGTGTCCGTGGGTGTGAGGAAATAAGTCAACAGAGAGACAGATCATGGTTGGTTGGTTTTAAGACAGAGAGGAGGGTCACAGCCTTAATAAACCCTCCTGATTCCTTCCCCCTCTGATTGAACACGGGTCTGTGTGGCTATAAAAAGGGGGGGTGGAGTAAAATTGGAAAGGACTTGGATTCTTTTGTGATACACAAGATCGCTTCAAACAAAAGAAAGAAATGAACAGAGAGAAAGTGAGGCGCAAACCTGGGGCCGGCAAAAGAAGAGACGGCCACAAGGGAAGAAGCACCCGGAGTCCGTTCTAGACAGAGGAAACCCAGCCTTTGCAGGAAGCCTCTCCCAGGGGCTCTAGCTGCACCCTGGCCCCCTCCCCGGCCCCTGATACCTAGAAGAGATTCCAATGGTCCTCAGGATCTGGGAAATGCTTCTGCCTCACAGATACGCCCTTGGCCCTGGGCCTAGGAACCCCACCCCCACCCCCTAGCTGAGCCTCATGAGGCCCCTCCTCAGGACACTACAGTGGGGAGCAGGCTGCCAGGGGCCTGAATGACCTACCTGTAGGAAGAGAGGAGCAAAGGGAAAGGTGGCTCCTCTGTGTGCAGACACCCCAAATCCATCCAGTAGAAGTCTCTCAGGCAGGCCAGCGCTGGGTATTAGCAGCCTCTGAACAGAGCCGGGTCCTCAGAGGTTCTGGGCCCATTGTCAGAGGCGTGAGCAGTATTCCCACCCCCACCTCCTCATGCACCTGGGCAGCCTGAGAAGTTCCCTGAACATTAGTCCAGTCCCTAAACTTCCACTGGCACCCACCTATAGCCATCCCATAACCATGACACCTAAATACTAAGGGTATGCTCCAAGAGGCCACCCCACTCTAGTCAAAGCTTAGGCCTGCCTGGAGGGAAACTTTGTAATGGCCACAGCGCACCCAGGGTACATAGCCACCTGCCCCATCTACCCACATTCCTGCCCACGCCTAGGCACACACATCCTACACACCTGCGTAGAGACCCACACGTGTACCTGCAAAGGCACAGGCCAGCGACATGGCCCCATGCACACACTCACACTCATGTTGCACACTTGCTTGTTCAGGCCAGGATCTCCATCTGTATCTACCAAGACCCCTGTAGAGTTTCTCTTCTCAGCTCCTGGGGTCTTCTAGATACTCCCCTGCCCCAACTCCACCTCCCTTATCCACCTGTTGTCCCCAAGGCCCCTGAACTCATGACTCTGTAATGAGGATAATAGAAGTGGGGTCTAACTCCAGCAAGTGGGGTAGAAGAGAGATGCCTGCCTGGTAGGACTTCCCAGCGGTACTCTCAGGTAAGGGGTAGCTGAGATGGATTCGCCCACAGAACCTATTCAGGGTAATTTGTAGAATGTGGGAGAGTCCCAGCAGAGAGATGGACCCGGTAACCTTGCACATAAAGGCATTTTTAAAGGGACATGACACTCTAAACCCAGCCAGAGATGGGGGTGCTTGGCCCTCCCACCCTACAGGGAAACAGCCCGTGATGACAACTGTTCATGGGCAGGGCTGGGCAGGCCCACGGCTAAGGAAGGCCTCTCGAGCCTCCATCCTCACAAAACACCCAAGAGCCGGACCAAACAGCGGCATGCAGGTCACATTGTTTACATTTATGAGAAAGTCAAGAACCCTCCCTCAGTTCACGGTTAAAAGAAAATCCAGACCCAGAGAGGATTAGTGGCTAATCCTGGCCACACAAGCAATGGAGCAGCCCAAAGTGGTGACCCCCATCCTGAGACACCCACTTACCCGAGCTGAGAGTCTTCAGTGTTAGGGCAGACACCCCTGGAAGCACTGTCCCCCTCTGGCAGCTCCCCAGCCCCCCAGGGCTCGGACTCCCCAGAATCTTCCAGCATGTTTGCCTCGGCGCCCAGGGCTAGGCCATTGGTGAGAGACAGGCCCAGGCTGAGGCCATGGCGGGCCACGTCTGGGCCCTTCGCAGGCTCCTCGGGGTCCACCAGCACGCTCCTCATCTCTTGCTCCGGGTTGTGCGCTGCCAGCCCGTTCTGGACCTCTAGACCTCCCGTGCCCTCCAGCTCCAGGCTGGGGTCGGGGAGAGCAGCACTGCCCCCGGCCAGGGCAGGGGGCAGCGTCTCTTCATCCATGCCAGCCACGTTTCCACACCGTCCGTCCGGGCTGCTCCTGGCACTCTGCAGAAACTGGCAGCAGAGGGAGAGATGAAGGGTAGGTAGGTCACACAGGACATGGCAGTGGAGCCTAAAGCCCAGAGGAGCCAGCTCCAGGCCAGCCTGGCTACAGGCAAGGACAGTGGCCAAGATGACCTCAGGACCCATCTGGCTGGAGGCTGGATCTAGGCAGGCATCGTGTCCTTGCCTCGCCCAGGCCCCTCTACTCACCTCTCCGCAGACCCCTCGCCACGTGCTGTGGGCCCCAGTGCCAGTAAGTACCCTTCAGCGTTCTCCAAGCCCTCTCTGAGGGAGACCCAGGCTAGGAAGAACTGGCGAAGGAAGGGCCAGGTGCGCGCCCGCTCTCCCTCCCTTTACCATCGTGAGTGATGGAGACAAAATGCAGAATGCCAGCAACCAGCCCTCTGTGTTCTCGAAGGCTGGATCCCGGAGGCAAAGGTGACTGAATCTTGGTGGTTATGGAGGGATCTGGGGGAGGGGGCTGCCTTTGGAGGAGCGGAGATTTAGAGAGAAGTAAACAAAGAAAAGAAAGCTAGAAGGAGGCGACCAAGCAGGCTACTGGGAGGACCCCGCGTGCGGCGCTGTCCAGGGTGCTGGGCAGGTGCACGGCCACGAGGGATCCTCGCTGAGGCCACAGCCCCCAGAGGCTGGGCATTCGAGGAGGGAGGAAGAAAGGGAGGGAGGAGGAGCTTAAGGCCCCCTCCACCCTTTGGTCCCAGCAGTTCACCCAGACTGGCGGAGGTGCTGTGGAGTAGGCTTCCCTGGGGCACTCTGGGGAGAGCGCTGGAAGGGCAGTGTGGCCAGGTCAGGCCTCCTCACTGCCCTGCCCAGGCCAGGCCCACTCCTCACTACCTAGTTTGGGCCTGGGTCACTGGGTACACGAAGGAGACCCAGTTCCCCTGCCATCTCCACTACCTACCCTCGCTGAATGGAAGGGTGCGGCTCCACGCCCTAGAAGCTTCCTGCCCCACCCAGTCTCTGATTGGGGAGGGGCGGGGAATGGAATGGGCTGGGGGATCTCCCATCATCCCCACTCTATCCCTCTCCGTCTAGACTGTTTGCACACCCTCAGACCAACAAGCCAAACTCCCCTGGTCCTACAGAGCTGTGGGCGTCTGGGGACTTCTCCCCATTCTGGCCAAGCTACTTCCTTCCTCCTCTCTTTGGGCCTCAGCTGCCTCCAATACTGCCACCCTCCTCTGAATCGCTGGAGAAAGAGAGTGGCTCCTAGAGGGTCCGGTGAATCTAGAGGGGAGGGTCTAGTCAGCCTCCCTGGGCCACTTCAGCAGGAGCAGCTCCAGCAGCTGAGGGGTTAAGGAAGTCCACCCGTGTTTCCTGCACTGTCCTAGCCATAAAGTGTTGGGGGGGAGGGGACGCTTGTTACAATACAGATTACTAGATCATACGCCAGACCTCCTGAACCAGAGTCTACAGGGAGGGGATCTGGAAACCTCCTGTTCCTTTAATGCCCCAGGAGGTTTGGGACACATTGACTCAGACTGCAGGAAGAACTTTCCACTTCCAGAAGATGAGCCAAGGAGAAGGAAGGGAGCCGCCTTCTTTGCTGATTTGGGGGTCATTTAGGGAAGCCCTGGTGGTCATGCCTCAGCCTGCTAACTGCAGTTCAACACTACCAGTCATTGCACAAAAAAGGACGAGGTCTTTGATTCCCATAGAGAGTAGCCATCTCAGGGAGAGACCCACGGGGTAGATGGCTCTACCCTGTCCTGTCGGGTGGCTGCTATGAATTGGAATCCACTCCGAGGCAGTGCATTGGCTTTTTGTTGTTTGTTTAAGATTCAGAGGGTTAGTTAACATTCCTCTAACCTCAGGTTTTTAATGAAATGGGAAACAACAGGAGAGGCAGGGGCCTGAGGTCCCAGTCCATGCGCCTGGGACCTTCCATTCTAGAGTCTGAAATACTGCATCAGGGGAAAATTTTGCTCAAACAAACAAGCTTCCACAGATGTTGTTTTGTTTTGTTTGTTTGTTTTATCTGCAAAGCCAGGCTCTAGACTCTCCGGCCCCATTCCTGGGACACAGGAGAGCCTAGGGGCTCGGCTCTGAGGGAGGGCTGCTTTCTGGTCTGCCCTAAATCCCTGCTGCTGCTGTGGCTGCTATTTCAATCCATTCCCTCCGGTTGTGTTCTCAGAAGAGGGCGGGCTAGAGGTGACCTCTTCAACGGAAGCTCCTTGAGGGGAGGAGGAGCAGTTGGAAAGGGGGGGGGGGGGGCTGTTGGCTCCTGGCCTGGGTTCTAGTCCTCTGGCCTACTTGGTCACCCAGGGGCCTGGCTGAGCATTTCACTGGATCTGGAGCACGGGGTTCAAACGCAAGTCCACCAGGGCGCTTCAGGGCTGAGCCTGGCCTAGTGGGGTGCCACCCTCTTGGGTAGTATGCTATATGGGATTGGAGAGTCTAAGTGGTTTCACTTGATGGTCAGGCAACACAAGCCCCAAAGCCAGGGCCAGGACCAACCAAGGACCTCTCTGGAGACCCTAAGCCACCTTCCAAGTCCCAGCAGCTGCCCGGGGCTGGCACCAGCACTACCTGCCCCACCACCCCCTCCTGTGCCAGGGAACAGGATGGAGGGTCTGCCAACACCGGGCACCCGGCCGTGTCCTGAGCATCTGGGGGTGAACCAAGCCAGGCAGGGGTGGGTAGACAAGGGGTAGCATTGAACTCCACTCTAGGAGGGAGTGTCCCTAGTCTCTGCCTGGGCTGAGGGCCAGCCAAGCCCAGGAATAGCTGAGCCAAGACCCCCCTGTGTGGCTGACCCAGAGGAGGGGTGCTTCCAGGGGAGACCTAGAGGCAGAGGTGTGACACACCACCCCGGAGTCTTCCCTCTGAAGCCACCTGTGTCCCAGAACTCACCACCAGCGCCCTGTCCCCAGCCTTCCTGAGTCCATGTAGGGAATGGACAACCACCTTCGCTGTGTTGTCCCAGGCTGGGGGAGAACCGAGGTCCGGGAAGAACAAGCTCATGACAAAGGTGGAGGCGGAAGGCAGCCCTGCTCTACTCCATCCATCACCTATTTCACCAGTAGGTAGCTAGGAGTCATGGAGCCAAGAGAAGTTGGTCCTGAGGTCATCCCGAGAGCAGCCCCACCCCCACCCCGCCCTGCTCACTACATGAGCTGAAGGGGCAGGATGAGCCTCCAGGCACCGCGCCAGACCCTCCCACAAGTTCAGCACACAAATCCTCAAGCACAGGGATGGCCCACACACACCCCCACCTCCCACCCCCAAGTCCTGGTGGCAAGCCCAGGGAGGGAGGTGTGCAGCTGGGCCACTGGGCATCCATCCCAATCAGATGTCTGAAAATGACTAGCTGGTGGTGCCCAAGAACCCCCACAGTTCCTCCAGGCCTGAGCCAGGCCCCCACGCTAGGCAGGGGCTCCCACCACCCACTACCCTTGGGCGACCTCCCACATCCCACCAGCTGAGATAGGGGAAGCAGTGCTGGGGGGCGGCCAGCTCAGCCAGGCCTGAGTGGGTCTCAGCCCCTCAGAGAGAGCCCGGTGCCGGCACCGCTCTCCCGGTATCAGGAGTCAGCTGTGAAAACACGTCTTACATCACACCCCTCCTCACTGCTACCCCTCCAGCAGCTCCCACTGCCCTGAGAATAGAATCCAGTCTCCCCAGAATGGCCTTAAAAAAATGGCCCAGCCTGAGCTGATCTCTCCCCTCCTCCACCTGGCCAGCCACGCTGGCGTTCTTTCTGCTCCCTGAGCTCATTCCACCTCAGGGCCTTTGCTCCAGCTGGTCCCTTGATCTAGAATGCCCTTCCCACAGATCCTTCCATGAAGGTCTCCCTGTCGGTCAGGGCTCAACCCCACACAGGCCCTCTGACTCCCCGCCACTCTCCATCACACTCTCCCACTAGGCCATCTGAGCACGGAGCAGACCAGAGCCACCTTCTTCCTGTCCACCCTCTAGCTGTCCATCCACCCACTGCCATCCCCCCCAACTGGGGTGCTTGACGCGATCTGTCTCACCCATGCTGCCTTCCCCGCAGCAAGCACAGTGCCCGGCACACCATGGCACTTCTTAATATTCAGTGGGTGAATGACCTAGGGATTGCCATCATCTTCATGGTACCAACGAGGAGGCAGAGAGGCTGAGGCCCATGCCCTGGGTCACACCGCTGGAGGGTGGCAAGGCTGAGATTCTCCCTAGCATGATGCTGGGCCGTCTTAGTGGTAATCTATTACCCTCCTTTCCATTCAAGGGTCTGAGTCTGAGAACAAGGGCAGGATCACAGAGGCTGCCATGCTCTGTAAGACAGAGGGCACTTGTGGGCACGCACACATGGGACACATACACACATGCATGCACACACATGCATACACACACGCACACATAACACACATACACACCTGAGGCAGCCACTCTGGGTGTCAAGGGGGGTTGAAGAGCCCTGCTCTACTCCATCCATCACCTATTTCACCGGTAGGTAGCTAGGAGTCATGGAGCCAAGAGAAGTTGGTCCTGAGGTCATCCCGAGAGCAGCTGAGGAAAGGGTTGAGGAAAGGGTCAGAGAAGAGGGGCCCCACGTCAAAGCCCTTCTCTTTGGGTGTAGCTGGGAGCAGGGAAGACATGAGGCAGCGCTTCCGGTTGGTCTGAAAGGGGAGACAAGCCTCCATATTGACCACAGCCGCACAGTGACGTCATGTGGCTGGTGTGGGGAATCTGGGCCCACCTGGTGGAAACGGGGCCCAAGAGGCAGAGCTCTAGGACAGCAGAATTGACGAGCGGCTGGGATGTCTAGGGAGGTAGTGGGGCCAGAGAAGCCTGTCCTAGAACAGCAGGGCGAAGGCAGAAGCTGGGGAGCAGGACACCCAGACTTCGCCTTCAATGTGCTGGAAGCCTGGCGCCCATAAAGCCCCAGCCTCATTTCCCAGCATGCTTCAGAGCTCTAACCATTGCCAGGTCTTGGACCTCTCTGAGAAGCTTAAGATCTGTGGACAGCGCCCCAGACAGGCTCACATACATGATAGCATAGTGGACTACGT